ACTTATTCAGGTTTTGTACCTCTTTAGCTCAATTTTATACCCACTTATGCAAGTTTTGTATCTCGTTGTTTTGAAAAAAATTGTACCCACTTATTCATGTTTTCTACTAACTTATTCAAGTTTTGTACCTCACTTATTCAAGTTTTGTACCTCATTGTTCTGAAAAAAAGTTTTGTACCAACTTATTCAGGTTTTGTACCTCTTTAGCTCAATTTTATACCCACTTATGCAAGTTTTGTATCTCGTTGTTTTGAAAAAAATTGTACCCACTTATTCATGTTTTCTACTAACTTATTCAAGTTTTGTACCTCACTTATTCAAGTTTTGTACCTCATTGTTCTGAAAAAAAGTTTTGTACCAACTTATTCAGGTTTTGTACCTCTTTAGCTCAATTTTATACCCACTTATGCAAGTTTTGTATCTCGTTGTTTTGAAAAAAATTGTACCCACTTATTCATGTTTTCTACTAACTTATTCAAGTTTTGTACCTCACTTATTCAAGTTTTGTACCTCATTGTTCTGAAAAAAAGTTTTGTACCAACTTATTCAGGTTTTGTACCTCTTTAGCTCAATTTTATACCCACTTATGCAAGTTTTGTATCTCGTTGTTTTGAAAAAAATTGTACCCACTTATTCATGTTTTCTACTAACTTATTCAAGTTTTGTACCTCACTTATTCAAGTTTTGTACCTCATTGTTCTGAAAAAAAGTTTTGTACCAACTTATTCAGGTTTTGTACCTCTTTAGCTCAATTTTATACCCACTTATGCAAGTTTTGTATCTCGTTGTTTTGAAAAAAATTGTACCCACTTATTCATGTTTTCTACTAACTTATTCAAGTTTTGTACCTCACTTATTCAAGTTTTGTACCTCATTGTTCTGAAAAAAAGTTTTGTACCAACTTATTCAGGTTTTGTACCTCTTTAGCTCAATTTTATACCCACTTATGCAAGTTTTGTATCTCGTTGTTTTGAAAAAAATTGTACCCACTTATTCATGTTTTCTACTAACTTATTCAAGTTTTGTACCTCACTTATTCAAGTTTTGTACCTCATTGTTCTGAAAAAAAGTTTTGTACCAACTTATTCAGGTTTTGTACCTCTTTAGCTCAATTTTATACCCACTTATGCAAGTTTTGTATCTCGTTGTTTTGAAAAAAATTGTACCCACTTATTCATGTTTTCTACTAACTTATTCAAGTTTTGTACCTCACTTATTCAAGTTTTGTACCTCATTGTTCTGAAAAAAAGTTTTGTACCAACTTATTCAGGTTTTGTACCTCTTTAGCTCAATTTTATACCCACTTATGCAAGTTTTGTATCTCGTTGTTTTGAAAAAAATTGTACCCACTTATTCATGTTTTCTACTAACTTATTCAAGTTTTGTACCTCACTTATTCAAGTTTTGTACCTCATTGTTCTGAAAAAAAGTTTTGTACCAACTTATTCAGGTTTTGTACCTCTTTAGCTCAATTTTATACCCACTTATGCAAGTTTTGTAACTCATTGTTCTGAAAAAATTTGTACCCACTTATTCAGGTTTTGTACCTACTTATTCAAGTTTTGTACCTCATTGTTCTGCAAAAAAGTTTTGTACCAACTTATTCAGGTTTTGTACCTCTTTAGCTCAATTTTATACCCACTTATGCAAGTTTTAACTCATTATTCTCGAAAAAATTTGTACCCACTTATTCAAGTTTTGTACCTACGTATTCAAGTTTTGTACCAACTTATTCAAGTTTTGTACCTCATTATTCTGGAAAAAAAAAGTTTTGTACCCACTTATTCAGGTTTTGTACCTCTTTAGCTTAATTTTATACCCACTTATGCAAGTTTTGTATCTCGTTCTGAAAAAAAATTTGTACCCACTTATTCAGACTTGATACCCACTTATTCAAGTTTTGCACCCATTTATTCAAGTTTTGTATCTCATTATTTTGGAAAAAAAGCTTTGCACCAACTTATTCAGATTTTGTACCTCTTTAGCTCAACTTTATACCCACTTATGCAAGTTTTATAACTCATTGTTCTAGAAAAATTATTTGTTCTTTAAACCATGTGTTACAAAAATAATCATGTGTTTCAGAACAATGTGATAATTTGAACTAAAACTATGTATGTATGGATGCAATTATATGTTCTTTGAACTATGTGTATCTAAAGATTGCGAGATGATAATGTGGTTGTATGGATTGATCATGTGTTTCGGAATAATGTGATACTAAAATAATGTATGTATGGATGCAGTTATGTGTTCTTTGCACCGAGTGTACCTTAAGTTTGTGAGTTGATAATTTTGGAAGGAGTTACAAATTTTTTTTAGAACTATGAGTTACAAAACTTTACTAACTGGGTATAAAACTGGTCTAAAGAGTTACAAAAATTAATTAAGGAGTTACAAATTTTTTTAGAACTATGAGTTATAAAACTTCACTAACTGGGTACAAAACTGATCTAAGGAGTTACAAAAATTAATTAAGAAGTTACAAATTTTTTTAGAACTATGAGTTACAAAACTTCACTAACTGGGTACAAAACTAGTCTAAGAAGTTACAAAAATTAATTAAGGAGTTACAATTTTTTGTAGAACTATATAAGTTACAAAACTTCACTAACTAGGTACAAAACTGGTCTAAGGAGTTACAATTATGTGTTCTTTGAACCGTGTGGCTATAAGTACCTTTAGAGTTACAAAACTTGAATATGGAGTTACAAATTTTTTTTTCCAGAATCATGTGTTACAAAACTTCACTAACTGGGTACAACATTAGTACTAACTGGGTACAAAAATTGAATAAGGAGTTACAAAAGTTTTTTTCCAGATCTATAAGTTACAAAACTTCACTAACTGGGTACAAAACCGAACTAAAGAGCTACAAAACTTGAACTATGAGTTACAAAATTCTTTTTCAGAACCATGAGTTACAAAACTTCACTAATTGGGTACAAAACTGAACAAAAGAGCTACAAAATTCAAGTTTTGTAGCTACAAAAGAGTTACAAAAATTCAAGTTTTGTAGCTCTTTTGTTCAGTTTTGTACCCAATTAGTGAAGTTTTGTAACTCATGGTTCTGAAAAAGAATTTTGTAACTCATAGTTCAAGTTTTGTAGCTCTTTAGTTCGGTTTTGTACCCAGTTAGTGAAGTTTTGTAACTTATAGATCTGGAAAAAAACTTTTGTAACTCCTTATTCAATTTTTGTACCCAGTTAGTACTAATGTTGTACCCAGTTAGTGAAGTTTTGTAACACATGATTCTGGAAAAAAAAATTTGTAACTCCATATTCAAGTTTTGTAACTCTAAAGGTACTTATAGCCACACGGTTCAAAGAACACATAATTGTAACTCCTTAGACCAGTTTTGTACCTAGTTAGTGAAGTTTTGTAACTTATATAGTTCTACAAAAAATTGTAACTCCTTAATTAATTTTTGTAACTTCTTAGACTAGTTTTGTACCCAGTTAGTGAAGTTTTGTAACTCATAGTTCTAAAAAAATTTGTAACTTCTTAATTAATTTTTGTAACTCCTTAGATCAGTTTTGTACCCAGTTAGTGAAGTTTTATAACTCATAGTTCTAAAAAAATTTGTAACTCCTTAATTAATTTTTGTAACTCTTTAGACCAGTTTTATACCCAGTTAGTAAAGTTTTGTAACTCATAGTTCTAAAAAAAATTTGTAACTCCTTCCAAAATTATCAACTCACAAACTTAAGGTACACTCGGTGCAAAGAACACATAACTGCATCCATACATACATTATTTTAGTATCACATTATTCCGAAACACATGATCAATCCATACAACCACATTATCATCTCGCAATCTTTAGATACACATAGTTCAAAGAACATATAATTGCATCCATACATACATAGTTTTAGTTCAAATTATCACATTGTTCTGAAACACATGATTATTTTTGTAACACATGGTTTAAAGAACAAATAATTTTTCTAGAACAATGAGTTATAAAACTTGCATAAGTGGGTATAAAGTTGAGCTAAAGAGGTACAAAATCTGAATAAGTTGGTGCAAAGCTTTTTTTCCAAAATAATGAGATACAAAACTTGAATAAATGGGTGCAAAACTTGAATAAGTGGGTATCAAGTCTGAATAAGTGGGTACAAATTTTTTTTCAGAACGAGATACAAAACTTGCATAAGTGGGTATAAAATTAAGCTAAAGAGGTACAAAACCTGAATAAGTGGGTACAAAACTTTTTTTTTCCAGAATAATGAGGTACAAAACTTGAATAAGTTGGTACAAAACTTGAATACGTAGGTACAAAACTTGAATAAGTGGGTACAAATTTTTTCGAGAATAATGAGTTAAAACTTGCATAAGTGGGTATAAAATTGAGCTAAAGAGGTACAAAACCTGAATAAGTTGGTACAAAACTTTTTTTCAGAACAATGAGGTACAAAACTTGAATAAGTGAGGTACAAAACTTGAATAAGTTAGTAGAAAACATGAATAAGTGGGTACAATTTTTTTCAAAACAACGAGATACAAAACTTGCATAAGTGGGTATAAAATTGAGCTAAAGAGGTACAAAACCTGAATAAGTTGGTACAAAACTTGAATAAGTGAGTATAAATTTTTTCCAGAACAATGAGTTACAAAACTTGCATAAGTGGGTATAAAATTAAGCTAAAGTGATACAAAACATGAATAAGTGGGTACAAAAATTTTCTAGCACAATGAGTTATGAGTTACATACTCTCCACCGGTATCTTTCACAAAGACATCCAATAAATGAGCAACATCTACCAACATATTGAAGTATATCATAAGCCACAATCTTTCACTATATAAACAAACTTGAATAAGTGGGTACAAAAATTTTCTAGGACAATGAGTTATGAGTTACATACTCTCCACCGGTATCTTTCACAAAGACATCCAATAAATGAGCAACATCTACCAAAATATTGAAGTATATCATAAGCCACAATCATTCACTACATAATCTTACAGATGCAAACACCAAAAGACGCATAAACTTCACAGGAATCATTTGTCAACATTCAAAAATAATTCCTTCTACATATGGCAATAAGCTCAGAGAACAGATTTACAAAAATTGAATAAGGAGCTACAAGTATAAACTATACTTACAATAGAAAAGGAATATCATCCACATATTCGCATACTCAGCAACAATCAAGAAAAAAAATATTTACAAAAATTACAGAGATAGTTGAGGCTCAACTCCAGCTAGCAAAGCATCAGCAATTCGAGGACAGTGCTCTAGGCTCAGTGCAGACAAATGTAAGCAATTCTCAGCTATTGGCATGATCCCTTCATCATCAATAAACGAATTTATCAAGTGTAAGCAAGTCCTATTAGATCATCAGAGAGCTTCATGCTTGTATTGATTTCATAAACTTCAACAATACATCAATATCCAGCACTGAATAGGAAGTTCTTAATAGGATTGTAAAGAAGATTTTAAAGCAAATGAAATATTAAATCAAAATATTAAAAAAAATTGGAAAAAAGATACTGAACAGTGAAGGGCGAAGTGGAGGGCGGCGGGGCGGGGAGCGGTGAAGGCAGAACTCGAGGGCGGCGGGACGGGGAGCGGTGAAGGGCGAACTCGATCAGCAGAGGTTAAGCTTACCAGATTTATTTGTTCCAAGTCAACACCACGATTAATCATACGTTGTCGGCGCTTCACAGCTATTAGCTCTTTACGTTGCTTCTTTTTTCCACCTGAAACATAAGTAAATATTTATATAAACCCAGACCCTAAATAAGGAAGCATAAGGGCAATAAAGTATTTTTCCTTTGGATTGCACTAATTCATCAATTACAGTCTCACTAGGTATGTAGATTTCAATGCAGTGGAAGACAAGACCCTTCAAATGCATCCCAGTTCTGGCCATCTCCCTGCACCCTTTGCAGCAAATTCCATGATGACAACACCAATAAAGCATTTTTGGAGTCAGATACATGAATCCCCTCTCTCATTCAACTATGTTAGCTAGAGCTAACTCCAGTTCTTATTGCTTTGTAAACATCAATCCTCTCACTTCTCCTAATTAACAATTATTTTGACTCCATTCTACATACACAAAACATCTTCTAGGTGCATTCCCATTCGTTCAAAAAACATCATATTTGCACTTGTTCTAATCCATAAATTATTGTTAGTATTATAATAAAATTTATAACAAATATATAACAATTATATAAATAATACACAAATTATGTACAACAATTAAATTTATTAACATTACAATATTATTACATAATTTGTATTGGATGTTCAAGGGCAAATTATTATTACTATTCCAGCACCTATAAGTTTTCATCACATACCTACCTAGAGATCTCATATCCCCCACCCTTATATAATTTCAGTTGCTGTTATTCACTGCATTTTTTTCCTTTTGGAAAAACACCTATATTTGCTGTATTGGCCGCTATTTCACCTGATTTTACATGAAATTTATAAAAAAAAGTTTCTCTATCAAACTACCTTCATGAAAATGGCTATAATTTTTATATTTTTACACACCATAGAAACCAACTAAAATATTCGTCCAATCCAATCACATACATACTTTAAATTCTGCAATCATATACTTTCTCAGTTTAATCAAGAAATATATTGTAATTTCCTTTTGCTGGAAGAACATCAAACTAGCAAATAAAATTAATTCCCCAAAAAAACAGTTTAATAATAATATGCAGGAGAACTTTGAATCAAATTTCAAGAAAAATAAATCACAGTTCTCCTAGATCTGGGATCTCACGGTTGGATCTAGGAACTAGGGTTTTGATGGAACTGGAGAGAGAGTGATAGAGTTGTCTCCGGTTGGATCTAAGAGCTAGGGTTTTGAGGGAACAAGAGGCAAAGCAACTGAGAGAGAGAGAGACTGCGGGTCGAGAAAAGAAAAACGGCGGAAGTTCTCACCGGTTTCGATGATCGCCGTAGTTGCCGGAGGTGAAATTAGGGTTTGCAGGTAAAAGTGGATCTCATCGTCGTCGTCGCTGCCGGTTGAGAGCGATTGAGAGAGGAAGTGGAGAGGGAGAGAGATCGTGAGAGTTGGGGGCGGGGATCGCGAGAGCGAGGGGAAATTGTGAGAGCGTAAGTGGAGAGAGAAGAAACGGGAATCGCAAATGACAGCCTATCCATTGGCATTTAGAATTATGGGCTTAGTATAGGTTTAAAATGATAATGGATTTGGGCTAATTTTCAGTATTCAAATTCTTTTGGATCCAAACAATAGAATTGGGCCAAATACAGTATTTAAAATGAAATCCTGGTTACCAAACAGGCTGTTAATTAATTTAAAAGAATAATCTATTTATTACTTTTTTACAATTTAAAAATAATTTTTTAACTCATAAAAAGGATTAAAAAGCAAATGCAAATTAGAAGATGGTGGTTAAGAAATATTTTCTTTTAGTTTAGGGAAAATGAAATAAACTAATAAAAAGTCATAAAAATATTTTAATAACACTAACAAATCTTTAATATTTAAAAATTAGTCACTCAAATCATAGAAATTTCTATTACATCCCTTTGCCGACGCTAACTTGTGTCACCAAATGTATACTTTTTTGCGACGAAAAGCTTTACGTCGCTAAAAGCTATACTTTTGCCGACGCAAAATAGCGTCGGCAAAAGTATTACTTTTAGCGACGCAAAACTTCTCGTCACTAAAAGATACACTGCCGAGGCTAACTTGCGTCGCTAAATATATAATTTTTTGCGACGAAAAGTGTTGCGTCGCTAAAAGCTATACTTTTGTCGACGAAAATGAAAAAACATCGTGAAATCCATACACATAGAAGCGTGGGGAAAAGTGCAATTTGTTGTAGTGATGAAGGTTCCCAGGGCTCATACATACAATTTCTCCATGCAAAAACAATTTCCTCCAACAGATATCATCTACGCTATAACTTAATTTCGACGGTTCTTTCTCCTCTTAACCTTATAGAACTCTAAGAGAACTTTATCAAAACTTTTTTCCCCTGTTTCTTTAGTGATTAAATCTCATTAAGTTCTCCTCACATTTATTAAAGATGTTTGCATGGTCAATTATTTTACAGCTTTTATATGTGATTCTTTATGATTTGGCTTGAAACTTTGCACACAAACATATAGAAAATATAATATCAGGATGAGAAGTAGTAAGATTAAGAGACTACCAATCATTTCATTGTATCTCTTTTCATCAATTAGAACTTAAGTCTCATATTTTGTAAGCTTTGCAGAAGGACTCATTGGGATTAAAGTTGCTTTTAAATTGTTCATATTGGATAATTTTTCTATAAACTAATCAAAGATGAAGCCAAAACTCACAAATATGACATCATATATGCAATAATACAAATAATAACATGTGATCAATTTAAATGAATATGACTGAATAATTACTTTGGTATATGCATTGGCGACAGTTCTGTGTCGTCGCCAGTACGTATTGGCGACGTCAACAACATTGGCGACAGACGGGGCCGTCACCAATACGTATTGGCGAAGGACGAGGGTCTTGCAGTTGGTTAGAATGAGACTGAATAGATTCCTTGTATTCAGATACCAATGTATAGGACTAGATACGATACGAATGTAAATGTACTATTATCTTAATTAACTAATAAATGATCCCCACACCCACCCCTATTCTACCTTAATTAGGCTCAGACATTACGTGTGATACTTCCTAGCCCAATGGTAGGCGTTCACGTGGGCATTTAACACGTAGCAATAGAGGTAAATGGGACAGAGGGGTATTGGCGACAGGGTTTCAATACGTGTCGCCAATGTTTATTTCGTCACCAATGTTTATTCCGTCGCCAATGTATATTGGTGACGGGCCATTTCCCGTCGCTAATGTTTGTATTGGCGACGGATTCGAAATCAGTCACTAATACCCCGTCGCTAATACTCTGTTTTCTACTAGTGCCACATACTAATTTTTTTTGAATTTGTGCCCGAGCTAGGGATGGGTGCAGTGTTGGTCTTGAGAGTGGAGACCCAAACCTAGAATCAAAATCAACAATTGCATAAAAATTAAAGACAGGCCGTGCGTGTGGTCTGCGTCACATCAGGGTGTGGCAGAATCTGTCCTGCCTGCCATAGGTTTTGTCTGCGCCACATCAGGGTATGGTAGAATCTGCCCTATCTGCTATGGGTGTGATCTGCGTCACACCAGGGTGTGGCAGAGTCTGCCATTGTTCGCGGGAAAATTCGTTGCTTTCTTCATTGCTGATATCATTGTACACTTTAATAATCGTTTATCGAGTTACAAAGATCCGGTCTTTTTATAAGATCCGGTTACAATGAAAATCAAAATACAAATAAAGAAAAATTACAACTTGTTTCCTTCTTTGTCGAACGAATCGCGAGCTCCTGTTTTGCGGTCACTCGCTTTGGTGGGTTCTTTGCCTGCGCCGGGGTTATTTGCCGTGGACCACCGCTAATGAAAGCAACGAATTTTCCCGCGAACAATCTGGCGACCACAGTGGGAGCCACCGATCTCGCCGACGAGATGTTGCGTCGCAGCCGCGGATCCTGATCCCGGTCGAGGAGGAGGTCGAGTACGAATTCGACCAACAAAAGTTCGAGGAGTATCTGTCATCCTCGTCCGGATCTACCTCCCCTCGCAAGTCCAAGAAGTTCTCCCCCAGGAGAAAAATTCGTTGGTACGAAGATGTTGAAGACACCAACGAAGATCTCGCCCCGCTAAATGCCGAAGTCGCATTGGGTGAGATCCCTCTAATTTCCAACCAGGTCGGATCTACTCTGGCCAACCCTTCTGCCGCAGGGGGCGTAGTGACTCTCTCGAAGAGAGCCCGCCAAAGGCAACGGCAATGCCTTGCGAAACAATTCGCAAAGGCCACGGAATCTGTTGACGGAGTTCGCTACAAGGCGAATCTGAAGAACAGAAGAGGCGAACGACCTCAACTACTGATGAATGGAAACTCCTCCAAGCCGTCAACGAACGAATGGATCCGCGTCAAACGGAACCGTTCGACGCTGGAGGAGCGCATTCGCAAACGCCGTGCACTATCAGCGCAGACACGGGCTCAAGCTGAAGAAGCCCGTAGAAGGTTGCAGAATGGAGTAGCTAAGAAATCGCCACTAACCCGCCAAGTATGGAGGCCGAAATCTGAAACGGTGATTCAAGTTAAGGCACAATCGTTACAGCCTTCGAAGCAGGTTCAATCTCCGGCGAGCCAACTCAAATCGCCGATGACCCCTACAATTGCTCCGGGAGATCCTGCGGAACCATCCCGAAGAAGGAGGTCAATTTTAGGCAAAGCTCCAATTCAAGATCATTTGGGCCCGATAAAAAAGCCCCGAACGACTCAACATGCTGAGGGTCGCTATCATTCTCAGCATGACAAGGAGTTCAAGGCTATTGCGCGCGCCAATTTGCGCATCGAAGTCCAGGAACATGCTGAGAAGTCATGCCCGCAAAGGCATGTTTCGAGGCGTGTAACTCTTGAAAGCCCAAAGAAGGCAATCCAACCTCAGATGGAAACATTATCATCTGATAGTGATAGTGTTATACCTGAGAAATCGTACCCGCACACGATAGGTTACTCCGGATTTCAAAATAACGAGTTGTACTATCGTGCTGGGGGTACGAATAGAACAAGAAAAAGAAGCCCTCAAAGGCTCGAAACACAGTGCCCATGTGCCAAGCTCATTCGGGTAGTACTGTCCGAATGCAACTGCAGCAAAGCAGTCCCCGAGAGAGTTTCGGTGTTCGAAAGGCTCGGCACCGAAACGCCAAAACCAAGGCATAGACGCTTCCGGCAAAAGAGAAGGGCGGTTAAAGACGGAGAATTTCTGAGGGTCACCGCCAACATGACCAGCAAAGAGATGTCGACACAGGTTGATCTCAAGTCGTTTCTGGAAGCGTCCCGGCGTGTAACCCGCCTGCAGTCCGGAGCCATCGCACGAGGAACTTATGGTAGGGTTCGGATAAGATTGCATTCGGAAGATGAAGAATCAGATTCCTGCTCTGCTATCGCATCGGACGATACAGTGTCCAGCGAAGGACAACCCCGCGAGTCATTTATGATAAGCGCGGAAGAAATGGCCAAGATGCTTGAAGACGCTTTGGCTAAGCAGAAAGAAAGCTTCAGGTTCGAGATGCAGATGGCCATGCAGACTATGAGAGAGATGCATGAGCAACAAATCCAG